TTGCAGGTGTACGCTGAGGTCCGTGTCAACTCTGAGGTCATTTGGAAAACTGATTCTCAGATTTCTGCTAAAACTAGTTTTCTGTTATCCTCTTACAACAACTGGTGTCTTCATGTGAGGCGTTTAGTGATTGTCTTTGTAGATTGTTACTAATGAAAGTAACTTGGTTTGCATCCCTCTTTCCAAATTGCACGACTCTCTGCCCGCACATCACTCACACACAGCGCCATTCAACACCACAGGAAAACATGCCAGTGACATTTGGGAACAACCTTAAACTTAATATTCACTAAAACAACTTAATTTGCCATTTTGCTTCTATCTTTAGCAGCTGTTAGTTGAACTACTGTTTATTATATTAAAGCATGCATGCAGTCAGACAGGCACAGGTCTTAGTAGTTTGTCTTAAAACTAAAACTTGGTCATCTGTTTTTGCTTTTTGGTTTGTTTTATTCTCCCCATTCTTCAGTGTCATGAAGTTTTGTAAATATAGCACTAGGCTTTAACATATTTCTTCACAGTATGCTTGACTGTTGTCACTCTTCTTTGTCCTGTTAGCATTACAATATGGTGATGGCTGCTGCAGCAGCTGCGTCGGCTTCAGCCTCAGAGGACCATGACCTGCTCCTCAACCGTTTCCTGCCCTACAGCTCCCCTCAGCTCTTACGTGAACAGCCAGGCACCCCGGGGAGCAGCACATTGGCTGCCACCAACGGAGGCAGCAACAGCGGCAGCACCAGTAGTTTGGTGTCTTCGAGCAGTCTGCGGGACCGTGACAAAGACCGGGATCGGGACAGAGACAGGGACAGCCATTCCATTTCAGGATTATCAAGGTCCTCAGTGGAAGCAGCAGCAGCTGCAGCGGCCATTTATGGCTCCATATCTGACATTATCTCTCTTGACTAGATCCACTCAGAACTGAAAGACAATGGAGACCTCGAGAGCAGGAGTTCTTTGTAAATAAAGAAGAGGAAGATGAAAGAATACAGTGCTATGTACAGAGAGGAAAATCTATTTTCAATTTTACTTATCATATGTATATAAACTTAGGACGCTTCCTGTCCGGTGAGTTACTTCAGTTGATATTTTTCTGTGAATACTGAAGACTTTTTCACACCTCTTCATGTGGTCCTTTGATTAAATTGTACCTTTTGTACCTGTTTTTACGGTTTTGTTTCGATAATTCATGTCAATGGCATTATTTCAGTATACATGCACAGAACGCAGTGGGGGTCACAACCTTATGGAGCGTGATATTCAGAATATAAAGCAAAAGGGCATTGTTATAGATGTACAAAAGGCAAGTCTCAGCAAAACAGGAAAATGGGTAACACTTTCTTTATTTTCTAAATGGCTTTATTTCTGTTGACATGCTGTGGGCAGCAGAAAGATCGGCCATTTTTTGCCATCACTGTAGAATTTTTTCAGTAGAACATTCATGCTGTGGTCATTATTTTAAATAATTATTTATGATGTAAGTTATGTAGGATGCGTGCTGTTTTTTTTTTTTTTTTTAAAGAAGCATTCCCTATGCCTCTAGGAACTGTTGCCACTAGAAATGCAGGAGTAAATGCTAGATCCTTCTATTGTCGTAAGTGCTCTCTTTTCCTCCTCACTTCTTTAACTCAAATCAAACATGAGCGATGTTAAATTGTTCAAACTGTACCTGGATGACATAAATTGGGAGAAGTCAGTATTGTTAAGACAACACTTTTATTTTAATTTTATTTTGTTGTTGTTGTGTGAATGAAGGGCACAGGTCCAGCAAGAACCACTATCGGACCTTTTATATAAGTCTTAGATTTGCAGTATTGTGTAATTTTTTTTCTCTCAAAGTGTAGTTGTTTTACTTTGCATATTATATTCTTAAAAACATGCACAGAAAAAAAACACAATTGATGAGTTGATACCGATAAATTTCTGCTCCACCGTCAATGGGAGACTAGTTTCTGGTCCGCGTGAGGTGAAATGCTATATTTGAAAGGTGTAAAACTGTTCACTGAGTGCAATTGGATTAAATACATTTCACTGGGTTTGATTTTAGCACTTGTTGCTTTTTGTTTTTTAATTTACAGAGAGCCTGTTTGGAGCAGTGAAGCATTACAATGTGCAATTGAGTAGTTTTCAGCTTTATGTGTGTCTACAAATTACCTGAAAGCTCACCTGTTTGAGTGAATCACAACACCCTTTTTTTTGGCCCAAAACTCAAAATCATCTATGTTACTTTGGACTCCTCCCTTTCCTTTATTTTGTTTGACTTGTGCTTACAGTTAGAATTATTTATTATCATATATATTTTTCAGCATTTGTTTGATTAATGAACATGCATTGCTGTCATTGTATGTGATCATTTCTTTTGTAATTATATATAATTAATGCTATTTAAAGATGTCATTGTTGCTTGACATGCATTGTAACATTTTCTGTTTGTCTGTTTTGCTATCAGATGATGTCAATAACTCAATAGAAGCTTTGATCGTTTTGAACGGCTGCGAGGTCTACTGTGCTGTTTGATATTTGTAAGAATTAAAACCAATACAAGGAAGTGCATGTTTTGTAGATGGCGTGAGGACAGCTCCGTTTGCTTCTCTGGTAGCTTTTGAGAGCATTCAGTATAGCAACAAAATCACTCGGTTGAATGTCGCCAGCAAAAAAATGTACCGTCTCTGAGGAGCGGCGTGGCACTTAAAAGAAATCTGCATTGTTTATGAAATTGTTTTTCAGTATCAAGGTCTTAGGTTACAAAAGGATAAAGCTACGTAATATCATTGGCAGTTATTATTAGAAGAAGAAAGAAAAGCAACATTGTACACATTTGCTTGTTAGTAGTTTTCTTGATTTTGGAGGAGTGGAAATGGCCTCGGGGTATCCCTGTGTTTTAATGGTTAATTTAAACTAGGAGTGATGGCATATTCAAAAAATACAAAATAACTGAAATGATGATATTTATGTACTTACAAACCAAACTAAACTAAAATGTTAATGCATACATATACAGGAAATGTCACTTTTTAAGTCTCAATTTGGTTGAGTATGTAAACCTGACAAAGTGCCGCAGGCTTTCTGCATTTGTTTATTCAGTCAGCATGGTCGAAGTCCACTTCCCTGCTGTGTTTACCATACAAAATACGTTATTTACCCTGTATTTAGAACTTTTTTTTCATGCAGTTGAAATGGACTGGTTGCCAGTCTGTGGCAGAGACTCAGACGAGCATTCATGTTCACATTCACACCGATAGTCATTTTGAAATCAGTATTATAGGACTGTGGGAAGAAGTCAAGGAACCCGTGCAGGCACAGGGAGAACATGTAAACCTCACTCAGTCATGCCCAACTGGGGGCTTTTTGCTATGAGGTGATTACCATGCAGTCCTTAAAAATACATCTGCCAGATGACACTCTGCCAGACAGATAATTTGAATTATAGATGATAGTAGCATGAGATATAAATTATTTCCTGTATCTGTCTTTGTGGTAGTGGAGCTGAATCAGTCTGTTACATAAGGTGGACCTCAGTGATATTCCTGTCCATCACAGCTTTAAAAGTTTCCTGTTTGCAACCAATCACAGAGCCGCAGATGATTTCTTCATCTCAACAAAATCATTTACTAGTCAACAGTCAAACATGGTGGTGGTAGTTTGGTGGTCTGGGGCTGCTTTGCTGCTTCAGGATGACTTGCTGTAATTGATGGAACTGTGAATTCTGCTCTCTTCTAGAAAATCGTGAAGGAGAATGTCTGGCCATCTTTCCGTGCCCTGAAGCTCAAGCACACTTGATTTATGCAGCAGGACAACAATCCAAAACACATCTGCAAGTCTACCTTTGAATGTGCTGTGCTGGCCTAGTCAAAGTCCAGACTGAAATCCAAATCAGATACTTTGACATAACCTTACACAGGTTGCTCAAAAATGCTTAATTAAAACAGTTTTGCAAAGAAAAGTGAGCCAAAATTCCTTCCAAGTGATATGAAAGATCTATTGCCAGTTACCACAAATGCTTGATTGCAGTTTCTGCTGCCAAGGGGCACACAACTAGTTATCAGGTGTAGGGGACAATTTTAACACAGCACCAGTTGGTTTGGCTATCTTTTTCTTTTTTACATTAATAAATGAAATCATCATTTACAATTTGTGTTTTGTATGTATTTTGTCTTATATTATGCTGGAGAGTAGTGACAATCTAATTTGTTAACTAATGCCATTGTGCAGTAACTTGCAGGTATTGGAGTTACATTCACATTTGCATTGTTTTTATTTATTTTCTATCTATTTATTTATTTATTCATTGCAATTTTTAATAACTATTGAAATTATAATTTTTGGGAGTATAAGAAAAAATACTTTTTTTTTCTACCCTGGTCTCTGGTTTCTGTAAAAGAAATTAACTGGTGAACATTGTATACAGAATCCAGACACTAAACATGGCATACCTTGTTGACATTTTACCTCCTTTTTAAAATTATATTTAGTTATTTATTTACTGCGTTGGTTAAAATTTTAGGTTAATTGTCATTTCATGATCAATATTATTATTTATTTTTACAGTATTGATATTATATTGAACTTCTGAAAACCTGCTTTTGGCAGTTATCCCCCACTTAAAAAATAATAATAATAATAATATTGAAAAAACCCCAAAAACTAACAGAAACCTGCCAACCCACTCTGAAACTTTTACTTAACGTAAACAAACACCAAATAAAAATAATATATATATATATAATCACCAGTCTTTGGAGCATCTGTTCATCATAGGACACTAATTAATAGCACACTTGCGTTCGAGCCAAACCACAGGTCTGTCTCAGAGGACATGGGCACAACCAGCTGTTTTTAGCTTAAAGCCGTTTCATGACTTGTTGTCTAGCCTGCATTTTATTTTTTTAACAGACACTGATGCTTCAAAAGTCCAGCAGAAGGCAGAAACGTGTAAGGTAAATGTGAAAAGAAATCCTGTTTTGCATTCATTGCTGATTTGGAGTGTGGATGTGGGTTTAGTCGGGGCATTAAAGCGTCATCGCGTCGGTCATGACGTTTTTAGAAAGCGGCGCCGCTGCAGACTGGAATGGGAGCTGGCGATTTTTCCCATATTTTGATAGTTTAATCCGTGAATGGCGCCGAAACAGGACCCGAAACCTAAATTTCAAGAAGGTAACAGTTTGTTTCCTACTTGTTCTGTTAGGCTTGTACCAGCAGCGAGTGCTGGAGTCGCCGAAAAGCTTCAAAGTGTCAGCTAGTTACTGATCGTAACAAACAGCTAGCCGTATTAGCTCTCATTGTTGTTACTGTGAACACTAAATGTGACTCGGGAGTTTTTATTCGCCGCTTTGGTGGTTTATTTCGTCCTGTCATTACTACACAAACCAATTTCAGAAGTAAGAAGCTATATAAACTGTGTTTTCGAGATCTTTTATTGAACTGAAGGTTATATTTTCATTCATGCAGCGTTAGCTTCTCATTGACTGTTAGCTGAGTCCTAGCTAGCTTTTTTTGTACACGGCGTGTTAGCACCGCCTGCTGCTGACTTGGCGCTCATTTGTTGAATTATATACAAGTGGTTAAGTTATTAAATTAACTAGCAGGACTACGTTAAATTTATTTAGTAAAAGTCTTCCTTTTTATTATCAGTGACCAGAATGTTCTCTTGACAGTTAGTCATATTAGTGAGATAATAGTCGAGTTTTCATGTAAACTTCCCTAAATATGCAGTTGTGGTCAGACGTTTATATGTAGTCGTTATGGGCATGTAATGCCATGGTATTTTTTTTCCACCCTGGAAAACGAATGAGTATACATCATTAATGACTTTAACAACCAAGAACGTGGTACACAAAGTATACATACAGGCTCAAATGTATACATACATTCACTTAAAGCTTTTAAGTAGTGCTTAAGGTTCTACAGTGTCTTTTAAATGACAAGACCAAGGCGCATTAAGTTCTTGTTGGTGATCATGACTGACTACAACTGGTAGTCTTTATTTATTTTTGTCTGGGGAAAACATTTGTTTGACAGCATTAATTGGGCTGACCAATACTTTGAACAATGGGACTTTGATGGACCAGTTGGAGAAGTCTAAGTAACTAGGTAAAGATCTAAGAAGAAGATTATAATTTTATTCAAGTTGAAAAGTTGAACAACCCACAAACCACCAAGTCTCAAGCCTGCCATGAACTGGAAACCGCTGCAATACCACCATCACTGTGGTTTCACTGAGTTTTACATTGCTACGGACTAACAGGGTGCCGACCAAGAATAAGCCCCAGCTCCAAAATCAGCACCTTCAAGATCAACTGAAATTTGCAGTTGGCCACATGAACAAGTCAAATGTCTTCTGGAGAAGTTTTATGATCAGATAACTCCATCCCTAGTAAAAAAGTTGTACCGTATGTCTTGGCCAGGAATCTAACAAATTTATATTGCCTCTACCAAGTCTGCTAAGAAGAGGGGTCAGATATCCAGTCAGAAGCTTGTTGATGACTACCAAAAGCATCTGGTTGAGATGGAGCTTGCTAAGAGACACAATCAAATATTAGGAGTGTATGTATACTCTTGAGCCTGTGTGGTTAGGACAACATCTAAAATAAATTCAAGTGTGTGTTCGTACTATCCTGGTGGGGATCAAAATCTGACATATACTATACTGGTGGGGAGTTTCTGCACCGTGGGGACCAAAATCCAGGTCCCTACGGGGTTGAAAGCAATTTTCACACTCAAAACGTGGTTTTAGTGCCAGGGTTACAATTAGGTTATGGTTAGGCATTCATTTTTGATGGTTAGGGTAAGCGGCTAGGGAAAGCATTATGTCAATGGGATGTCCCCACGAGGATAGAAAACCGTGTGTGTGTGTGTGTGTGTGTGTGGGTGGGTGGGGGTTCTTTCTTCTCTCCTGTCAATGCCTTACTCACGTCCTTATTTTGTTATCTTTTCAGGTGAAAGAGTGCTGTGTTTTCATGGGCCATTGCTCTACGAAGCTAAGGTAAGCTGCCTTAATTAAGCGTGTCTCTCATTCAGTCGTCTTCTTTGTGTCAGTGTTTGACAATGAGTCATCCCTCTCTTTGCAGTGTGTTAAGATAAACATCAAGGACAAACAAATCAAATACTTTATTCATTACAGTGGGTGGAATAAGAAGTAAGTTTTTGGTTCCAATAAATCCCGATTAACGTTTGTACAGGAACTGTTTAACAAGTGCTTACATTCTTTTGATGTTGTGTCTTCCAGCTGGGACGAATGGGTTCCTGAAAGCAGGGTGCTTAAGTATGTGGATAGTAATCTGCAGAAACAGAGAGAGCTTCAGAGGGCCAATCAGTACGTCAATACTCTTTTTCTATTCACTATCGACTTTGAACTGACTGTGAGTTCCTTATGACTGTTGGAGCAAGTTAGGCAAAATCCTTCATCCAATTTCAGTAGCACACAATGTGTGCTATGTTTTAAACGTATTGGGACACAACAGAGTTTTAGTCTAGCTCACAATGGGCCTGTATGGAGTCACTATACAAGTGAAGCACATTCAGTCTTAATAGAATATTTTCCTGTAATTTTATTTACACATTAATCTGTTACTTTTATGCTCGAGTAAATGTCCCACTTAGACACCCCCCCCCCCCCCCCCCCCCCCCCCTCTTTATTTGTGTACTAAATCCCTTTATGCAAGTGCCAACACTAATGTGTCATGCCTATTCATAGTACTACAAAAACTGTGTTGGGTCACGTGCTACAGTGATTTTTAAATCTTGTGAAAGTGTAGTGAGTGTGGTACAAATTAATTATTCCTGAATATCTGAACTTGTTTTAATACAGAGACCATTATGTAGAAGGAAAAATGAGGGGTCAAGCGCCAAATAAGAAGATACCTGCTGCATCGCAGAAAAACGATGTGTGAGTTTTTGTTTTGTTTTCCTCTGTAACATAAGCTGCCAAACTGCTTTTCATATTAACACTTCACACTTAATTAGCTCTTCTTTGTTTGTAGGAAAACCAAAAAGAACAAACAGAAGAGTAAGTACATCACATTGTCTTACAATGTTAGAATTTATAAATGCGATTCTTAAAATTGACTCATTATAAGGCAAGAGTGGCAGTTAATTAAAGCTGTGTCTGTGCAGCTCCTGGAGCAGGAGAAGGGACTAGTTCAGGGGGAGATCCAACCCATCCTCCACGCAAGAAAAGAGCTCGTGTTGACCCAACTGTGGAAAGCGTAAGTTCAGAATTTTGTTTCTGTTGGTAATGTCAAATAATACCAGACTGTGCGAAAATGAACAGGCTTAATGTGCCAATACACCTGCTGCAGTGGTCGCTTTGCTCTCTGCCACGCCATCACACAGATGCAGCCATTTATGCCTGCAGTTAAGGCGCAAGAAGTTTGTAGTATTCTCCTAAATGATAGGTGTCACCACTCAGACACTATCTTGTCATATGCGCTGATGGGGAGAAGTCAAACCGGGAAACCAAAGCTTTGTCAAAAGTGTTTTGTTTTTGTTTTATTTGCAAAGTTCCTTTGACAAGCTCAGCCGAGCACAACGCACCAAGTCGCAAAAATCAAGAGGTGCACGACCGACCAACATGGCATAAGATGTGAAGTGAAAATTATCACGAGACGACACAAGCGACGCGGCAACCATAAAAAAGCCCTAAGGCTGCTTTGTTTTCTCCTCATGTGGTTTATGAGAACAAAGTAATCGCACTTGGGTGCAGACCAGAGCAACCGCACTGAAACCCTTTGGGGGAGCTGATCTTTTTTTGGTTTCAAACAAACTTCAGAGCGGTTTGTTTATGGTTGTTTATAGGTTTGAGTGGAACACCTTGCTGTAGCCGAGAATGCTTTGCATTCTGGAGTGTTGCAGCGTGTATAAACTGTGAAATATTAACCAGATAAAATACAAATGTTAGGACAAAATTTTCCATGTTATCCACTATTCCAGACCACAGCACCTGTTTCCTGTATTTACTTTTGTTGCTCTCACTCCAGACTCGAGTAAGCATACCGAACATTGTTGCATCGTTTTTAGTGACGCATTTTGGCTCACTTGGAGTTTGATTGGCATCTTCTGTGTGAAAAGAGACGAAACCATGGGAAAAAGCTACAAGTTTACAAATTCATGAACTGCATCAGACCAGAGTTAACAAACTATAGGTGTAAAAACGCCTTAATTCACTGCAGTTGCAGCAGGAACTACATTTGAAACCACTGTTTATGAAATGTTTCTGAGGCTTGGTTTCCATTTAGGTGTGTAAACATGATTGTTAAAAGCTTCCTTTTAATTAACTTTTTCTTTTTTTCCCCCCCGCACTCCTGTTTACTCAGGAGGAAACTTTCATAAATCGAGTGGAGGTCAAAGTGAAAATCCCGGAGGAGCTGAAACCCTGGCTTGTGGACGACTGGGACTTGATTACACGGCAAAAGCAGGTTAGTAAGCACTGACCTTGAACTCAAGTTTCACTTCACAGCATTTTATACATTGTATTTGTCTACAACATTTCCCAAGTTATTTCTTTCTATTTTGTTTTTCTTCAGCTTTTCCACCTACCTGCCAAAAAAAATGTTGACGCAGTCCTTGAAGATTATGCAAACTACAAGAAATCAAGAGGAAACTCAGACAGCAAGTAAAAACTTCTACTTTTCATCTTCTCAAGCAAAACTGTTTATGGTGCAAGCAATGCAGAGAGAGAAAATGTTTTATTTAAAATGTTTCTAGGACATGGTGAACAAATACTAAGAGTAAAGATTTGACTTTTCTGTTTTCTCTTCACTGATCAGGGAGTTTGCTGTAAACGAGGTGGTTGCTGGTATCCGTGAATATTTCAATGTTATGCTGGGGACACAACTTCTCTACAAATTCGAGAGGCCTCAGTACGCAGACATCCTTGCCAACCACCCAGATACACCAATGTCTCAGATCTATGGGGCTCCTCACCTACTCAGACTCTTTGGTAAAAGCACTTGCACATCATCATGTTTGGTGAAAGAACTAGACGATGAAAACTGTGTAGAAGAGCTAAAGATTGTCCTGTTTTCTTATCAAATTATTCATATAAAGCCATTAGCAAATGTATATTATAAAACTATCAGATGTGTGGTGTAGGTCTTAATGCACAAAAATGATTGAACATGTTTTTGTCTAAGCTTTAACATATTAAACACTGAGCTGTTTCTACCATAAAACTCCAAAGATGCAAAGATGCTTTTTAAAAAAGATTATCTGCCTTTTCACTTGTGTTGAAAGAGCTGACTGTAAAATCTCTTGATGATTCAGTCGTTACTGGAAATTAACTCTTTGATCTGGGGGAGGTATTATTTCCACTGTAACCACAGTTTGAAGGCACAGCCAAAAGTTTTTCAACTTCATCATCTCTCAACTTGGACTAAGCCCAAAATAACTCCCTATTGGCATTGTCATAATTAAGGTTATAAAAGGTCAGATTCTTTTCTGGATTCGGTCCATCTTTTATGGATGCTTTGTGAAGATAAAATTGGGCCTAGACAGGTTTTTAGTGTCAGGGCAGTGTCTGAGAAATCAGAAAAATATATGCCAGCATCAATCATAAAAAGGAATTGATAGCTTGGAGGCTGTTTATACCCCATCTAGGGCTGGCATGGACAAAACACGAAAGGCATCTCTTTCCCTAGTTCCAAGGAGCCACAAAAGCCACTTGTTAAGTTGGTGAATTAACTCTGGGGTGAGCTGAGGCCAGAACATCAAGCAAATCTGTCCACAGATTCAAAATGGAGATAATCCAACCAAAAGAAACAAAAGCCAAAATGCAGCAATTCAATACCCAACTGACATAAGTATGAGAACTTGATAGAAAAATAGCTGCAACTCCTAAATGATTTATACGTTTTGATAAACAGTTATAACTGAGAGTCTACACTTTAAAGTAAATTAAGATATGACTAAAGTCTCCTGTGGCAGTGTACAGAGACAAAACTGCGAGAGGTTTGTGATTGGCCAAAAGCCTATGGCCCTGACTGCAATGCCATGTTTATTACAGGGTATGTTGTCTCAGTTAATTTCTTGTCATGACAAAGCGTCATAAATAAAGTCAAATGACATATGCTCGGTAAAACATTTGTTTAGAGAAGTGTTGCACACACACCTCTTTAGATGGTGTTGATTTTTGCTTAAGCAGTAGTAGTGTAGAGGTGTTGACCTTCTCTGTCTAGTCCTGACTTTATCCTTTTGTGTACGTGTGTGTGCGTGTGTGTGTG